ATTCCTGCATGTTCTTAAATATAATGGTGAGCTGTGAGGGCAAGAGGGAAAACAGTTTATTTTGGGCTCAGTGCATCGTACCCACTTCCACCAGTCAGGCCTCATTACATAGTCAGGGATCTGATCCCAGCAGAGATGAAAGGCTTATCATGTTTTCACTCCTTGATCCCTTCTTTATGTTCCAATATTGCTTTATCCCTGCTCAACCCCTCTCTTTCTTATTTGGTCTCAACCTCGGAAACTCCCACAGGAGAAGGAAAAGTTTCCTTTCTGTAACTCCTCAACCCAGGCAGGGCTCCTCAACTTTCCTCTTTCCAAATTTCTCTTCAGTGTTTTCTGCATTGGTGTGAAATTCCCACTGAGGGAGAGTGATTTACAGGAGCGAGTGTTTGGTAGGAGGGAGTGATTCAAGATGTGAGAGCGGTTGAGGAGGAAAGGGAATAGGGAGCATTGCTGAGAAATAGTGGGAATGGCATGGGAGTGGTACCCTGAGGTGACCCTGGGAGGATCTGGAGGAGCAATTGAGTCCCTGACCTTCCGGGTGGTGGTGGCGTTGGCCCCCGATGCCACGGGGGAGCTGGTGGCCTGGACAAAAAGGAAGTCATTATCCAGCAAGGGCCAAGCTCCTTGGACACGGCACGTGTGAAAGTGGTGATGGAAGCTGCGCACGTGAGGGTCCCCGAAGGAGGCGCAATGCAAGAAGCCTGGGGGCTGACCATTCAGCCGGAAAAACCGGCCTTCATAGTCACAGGGGTCCGGGGCTGGGGGACCAGAGGAGCGCACCAGGCCTGCGCCTGGAAGGGCTGGGCCCCGGGGTGGGGGAGGGGCCGTGGGGCCCTGGCGGGAGCAGTTGTGCTGGATCATCAGGTCTTCGATGCCGTGCACAGCAGAATGGAAGGCGAGGTCCCCGCGGCAGGTGCGGGCCGTGCGCCGAGTGCAGAGCGCGTAGGAGCGGAGGGCTCGGCAGAGGCCGCTAGAGCCCACCCCTCCACCCCGGCCTCCTCGAAGGGCTCCTGGTGAACCCCCACCTCTAAGGCTCAGAGTGGAAGATACATACTCAGCATTGCAGCGGAGGATCTTGCACTGAGAGTGAGCTGAGGACGGAAGGGAGAGAGGATTGTGAGATGGTCCGCAGGTCCCCGCTCAACCATAACTCTCCCAAACCTCATCAGGGGATTCCAGCCGGCCCTAAAACCCAACTGAGAGCCTTCCACAGTCCCCAGTGCGCAGCCGCGAGCCCCCAGCCCCCCAACTTTCTAGTCTTGTCCTCTTTCAATCTTGCTAAACATGTGTAAGCCCTGCTAGATCTATTCTCCCTGTGGATCAAGGGCTTTCCCGGTGCCCTTCCCCAAGTTGAATGGAGAATAAAATATACCTATCTGAGAGTGGGGCGAGTGACTGGAATTCCTCAGCACCCATCTCTTCTCACTCACCCAAGCTCACATGCCCACCCCTACATAGCAGCCTACCCCCTAGATTCCCCAAACCCTTATCTAACCCTTCCTTACCATGTCCACAGAGGAGCAGCAGGAGAGTGAGAATGCTTAGAGTTGGGGGACTGCCATGGGGGCACCAGGGACTAGGGGACTGGCCTGGATCCCCCATACCTATCCAGCCAGGTCCCCCCAGGTTCCGGTTCTTTCCAGCTGGTGACCCTCCTACCTAGTGAATTTTGACCGGACGTCCTGTAAGGGACTGAAAAAAGAGATTTGGCTGGGCATGGGGAAAGAGAAGAGTTGAAGATTGTTCAGAATCGTGTGAAGAGAATCTCGGGAGATCAGGAAAAAGATGAGCAGACTGGAGTTTGGGGAGAATGGGGTTCCCTGAACTAAAAGCGAGGCTGTTAAGCCTCTGTGCCCTGCTCTTGTGGCCACTTTCAGGTCCCTTGTGCAATACCCCTAGGTGGGGGGTGGAAGAAAGGTCGAGTGAACTCAGGAGGGCAGAGTCCACTGTATTGCCCCATTCTGAGCTACCAAACAGCAGAAATGTCAAAAAAGGAGGAATCATGTGGATAGATCAGATCTCAATCATACTAGTGGGCTCCCCAACAGAATTAGGATCTGAAAATGCTTCAGAAACATACCTCTTATTTGCCCTTCCCTATCAGGAGGGGACACCCTCCAGAGGTCAGTCATTCATTTATTTTCCTCCTTTGTGTCAGAATTTTCAGTGAGAAAGGGGTAAGGGTGGTATAACCATCCCTGTTCTCTGGAACATCAGTATTCAAATGAAAAGGGAACCAGTCTCTTTCATCTACTCTAGAGAGCAAAAATCATAATCCTTCTCTCTCAGGGGATAATGGGATGCAAACCAAGCATGCAAATAAATATTTGTTTGTAAGTCAACATTTCTTCTTGTATTTTTCCAAACCTCACTGAAGAACCACTCTTTCCATTAACCTTACCTTGCAAGTTTAGAAGTTCTCAATCTTTTGATGAGAACAGAGCTTGGGGAGGGGCTAACTCCCTTTTGCCAAACTACCCTCTCCTGGGATAAGGATACGATTGAGGGAGAGTCATGCAGGAGGAAGAATAGGATGATGGGACTAGAGTTGTGGGAGAAATCATTTACAACAAGGATTAACCCCCAGCCTTGGAAGCCCAATGTGAAGGGCACTGCTAAGTAGGAGCAGGATAGAAGGGTATCAGTGACTAATCATCTCAGGCTAAATTTGGCCTTGGTGAGAAAACCACAGAATAGGAAATGTGGGACACATATTAAAGAAGGAGACTTCATCAGAAGTCTTGAGGTAACAAGATAAGAAGAGAGCTGACTCTCAGAGGAGAGACGGAGGTTTAAATTTCTAATGGCCAGAGGCCAGAAAGAAGTAAGACAGAAGGAGAAATGGAGATTGGGGCACCTTGGTATGGAAGAGATCCTAGCTTTTGGACCAGAGACATCCAAGTAGATGTCATAATTTTATGAAATTCTAACTTCAATTCTAACTCCAAAAGCTTATTAGAGGAATTGCAGTTTCATTTTGACTTACTGTTTCCAGAGGTCAAACATTAGTCTGATATCCAATTCTCCAGCCATGACTGTCTACTGTCAGTCAGCTCCAGCCAGGGAATCCCCCGTCTCTTTCTCCATGTCTCCCCTAGGTCCCCAGACCGGCTGCAATCTCACTGAGGTCAGGGAACCAGAGAAGGTCTGGTGTGGGGGGAAGGGGGAGTATATGGCTGGCTGGAGTACTGGACAGCTGAGCAGGGGAGGGAGGTGGCTACTGAGTTGACTGTTTTAAAAATAGCTAAGTCCAAGATTCCAGGAGCATTGGTGGGGGTAGGGTGTTGGAGTGGGGGGAGTGGGGAGGGTAGGATTAGAAACAATATGGAGTATAGGGTGCCAAGTGCGGGGCGGAGCACAGAAATATGACAAGCAAGTCAGATACCCAGTTTGAGCTTATATGATTCTAGTCACTGCCTACTGCAGGCAGCCCTTCAGCATTGTTAGTAATGAGCTCCTGGCCTTTAAAAATTAGAGTGGACAACTTATGCATTTCATTCACCACCCTCATCCCTGCTGTACTGAATATTGCGTTTAGTTTCTACAGAACATATCTAGGAGGTAGCTGACTTTAAATAAGGTGCATAGCAGAGGTAGTTCACAGCCCCTCCCCCATTTTTGTAGAGATTTCAGGACTAAAAAAGCCAGCTGTTTAAAGAAGAAATCTGAGCTCTGAGTTGTTTAGGATGAGGGTTTGTTTCAGTCTACCAGCTCAGATCCTTGCAGCTGTCTATCCCCCTACCTCCTCCATTCTCACTCCCTTGTTTATGTAGCAATTCCTCTTCCCAAGTATACACACAAACATATAAGCTCCTGAGTTTCTGGGGAGGAAGCTAGCAAAGGCAAAGAGAAGAAAAAGGAATGGGGACAGAATTTTTTGAAGGTTAGTAATCCACAGGGAAGAAGAACTTGGAGAGATAAACTGTGAGAAAAAGAGATTCAGAAAGATACTTTTGTGAAGTAACACAATCTAGTGACCTTTGAAGATATTGCAACCAAGGAATTTAGCCATGTCGTATTTTTGCAGCCATAGGCACCAGGGATCATCATCTCTTAGTACTTGCCAAGTGAAATTAACAGAAGGACTGATTCCAAATACTGTCATTAAAGCATCTTAAGTTACTCTACATTTAATTCAGAACTTAGAAGTCCACAGAGTACTCTTCTCTTTTTTATACATATAGATCTGAAAAATTTTCTCTCCACCACATGAAGCCATATCACAAAGGCTTTTATTATAAAAATGTAAAATGACCCCAACCAAACTATCCAAATGATTTTAAAACACAATAATTTGACTATGACATCCCAAGTGGGATATACTCTAAGGACAAAAAGAAGTGCAAAAACATTTTAGGTAGTCATATTGTTGGTGGTAGTGTTGGTATTGTTATTCTGAAAGTATTGTGGGTGTACTGTGGGATAAAACAAATGAGTAATAATGTTAGTGTCTTTGTGAACCAGGATTTTTGATGTAGAATAAAGAGATACAGATTTATGATTGATGAAATTAAGTAAAAACTCTATATTCTAAATTTAAATTGGAAGTATAACTCATAGTTATACTTTGTTTTGTTTTTTTGCGGTACACGGGCCTCTCACTGTTGTGGCCTCTCCCATTGTGGGGCACAGGCTCCGGACGCGCAGGCTCAGCGGCCATGGCTCATGGGCCCACCCGCTCCGTGGCATGTGTGATCCTCCCGGACCGGGGCACGAACCTGTGTCCCCTGCATCGGCAGGCGGACTCTCAACCACTGCACCACCAGGGAAGCCCCATAGTTATACTTTTATATATGGTATATATTCATAGTTATACAGAGCTCATGGTGTATTTTATCCTAAAACATATCCTAACTTTATCCTGAAAAGGCCTAGAAACAATAGCCCAGTAGCAATGAACACCCCTGGTGTCCAATCTGAGCTATCTCAATACCATTTCACACTAAAAGGAACTCCTTGGAGAAATGGCTAATTTCAGGTATGGGGCAGGAATTGTCCAAGATGAGCAAGGAAGTTTTCAAAAACTGTTAGAATTCTATCAAAAGGACTCAGAAGCAACTAGAACAGTTCCCACTGGCCAAAGATGGGACAATTTGAGTGTCAAAATGGATACTATATGCAATGGATCTAAACATATCAGGTATGTTTAAATCTATGTTTACAATGATTCTTAAACATACAAACTCATTGGTCATTGTTGGAGAATGCTAGGGGAACAACTAATTCATTATGTTGAAACTGGAAAGCATTAAGCATTTATCCTATTTTTTCTGTGGGAACACAAATTGAGGGGAAATTTTCTCTTTATAGAAGTTTTCTAGCAAATGAATGAAGAAGGAATGGCATTTTACAATATCAGCATTTTGTAACTCCTAATGAATTAATGTATCTAGTCAATGATCAATGATAGCTGTTATCCATCACAAAAGGAGAGACAAGCATGTCCTTTTGATCATAGGTGGAGTACACAATTCCACCTATGAAGTAGTCCTGCAAAAAAAAAAAACAACCCCTTTGGTCTGAATCTGATCAACTGGTAGTTAGCTTACTACTTATTTAGAAGGAATACAGGAGACATAAAATGATACCTCAGAGGTGCAAATCCAGACTATGGGCATACTCTTCAGAACAAATGACCTGGGTTCTTCAACAAATAAATTGGGGGGGGGGGGAAGACGAAGATGGAGAGGAAACCTATAGCCTAAAAGAGAATTAAGGGACATCAAGCAGTTGCAGCGTATGGACTTTATTGTATTCTAATTCAAGAAAAAAACTTATGAGATATTTGGGGAAACTTGAATGTTGATGAACACTTACTGGATACTTGATGATTTATAAGGAATTATTATTAAAGTTGTTGATGTGATACATTTTTTAAAAAGTGCTTATCTTTTAGCAATACATCTTGAAATAGTTGCAGGTGAAAAGATATGATAGCTGGGGTTTGCTTCCAAATAATCCAAGATGGGGGAGAAGTGGGTGGGGGTAAAATAAGATTGAAACATGAAGTGATCATTGTTAAAACTGGACGATGGATACACAGGGATTTGTTATACTAATCTCTTTCTTTTTGTAAATGTTTGAAATTTTCCATAATAAAATTTTAAAGTCAGAAGTCATCTGTGGGCCCTTTGAGATTATTGGAGAATTTTTACCAACATCCTTGTCAAAGCCCATTGACCAAAGACCACTGGGAACAAACCTGAAGTCAAAAAAACTGGGTTTCTTGGGCTTCCCTGGTGGCTCAGTGGTTGAGAGTCCGCCTGCTGATGCAGGGGATATGGGTTCGTGACCCGGTCCGCGAGGATCCTACATGCCGCGGAGCGGCTAGGCCCGTGAGCCATGGCCGCTGAGCCTGGGTGTCCAGAGCCTGTGCTCCGCAGCGGGAGAGGCCACAGCAGTGAGAAGCCCGCGTAACGCAAAAAAAAAAAAAATTGAATTTTTTGCTGCAGCAAGGAAGAGAATGCTGCAGTAGGACTATGGGATCAGTTCAGTAAGGGGAAGTTTGGAGGAGCCTCTTGTAGAGACTGGTCTGCTGTTGGATGATTCTCAACTAGAGTGTAGAATAGTAAGGGCCAATTCTGGACTGAATATTGTCAAGA